AAAGGAAAAAGGGTTTAATCTCAGGAAATGATGTCTTTGAAGATAAAATATTATAAATAGTGCACAATAAGATGATGCATAAAGACTGCTTAAGGCACCAGAAAACAGTAGCACCTGAAAAAAATGAGAAAATAATCTTTGAAAGGATTTTTATAGTGCATAAAAACAGCCTTAGAATAGCATCGTGGGGAAAAACAGAGCTTTCTTATCTTACTGTTGAGAATTGTATTTTTAATTTTGCATTATATGGAGGGATGGATAAGGTGCACAAAAGCTGTTCACTGCTTAGGGCCTCTGAAGATCTTGGTTTAGCACTGGCAGCGGGCTCTGAAGCTTTTTCCAAGCTCAGCTTTGCAAAGTGTTGCAATTGATTAGTGATGTCTGTGACATCTTAGATAAAGAAAGTGGTGATGGCATCAGCCCTGCCCCATACCCACCAACCCAGCATGAAAAATTCTTTTTATCTGGTCGATAAAAGTACTGGAATTTCCAGAGTAACAGATAAATTTCTTTTAAAAGAAATGTATCATGTAGGACATCATAAAGGGGACTTTGAGCAACACAATGAAATATTTTTCATTCTAAACACTAGATTTACAGGAAATGCAAAACATACAATTTTTTTTCCTAAGACCATTTGTTGTCTAGAAAGGAAGCCTGACTCAGCAAACCCAAGTTGGCAAACAACTTAGCAATGAGATTCAGGTCCATAGCTGTCTTGGGACCTAACTTGCTCTAAGGACTGAAGTAGATGACAGAGAAAACGATGGATAGCACGCCTAACACTTACCAAACAGTTGGTCATCCAGGGCTAAACTGGATCCAAACGAAACACATTAGGTAATAATTAAGAGTCAGACTTCTGGTCCTTGGTTCCACGAGGCTTCAACTGGGCCTTCAAACTCTATTATTTGTTGAAGTTCCCAGGTAACTCTGATGCGAACAGATGTTCGGGAACAATACCTTAGAGTACCTACCCTCCTTAAATAGTACTATTCACAGCCAGGCTTTTGATTATCAGCGATGGAGAGCAGACAATTGAAGGATTCCTGGAGTTATCACCTTCCTGGGCACCCTGACAGGGGAGGGCTGGAAGGGGATTCCTCCTCTAAAGATGTCAGGGTTAGGAACAAGGATCCCCTAAGCATTTCTCCATGACCTCATGGCGGGCAACGACTGTTTCACAGTGACAGAGATTGATGTAGAAAAGAAGGTGAGGAAAATCCGAGCCCGGACCCAGAAGCACCTAGATTTGTATGCGAGAGACGGTCTTCGAACACTGTGCATCGCCAAGAAGGTAAGAGCAAGTTCCTCGGGAAGTGGCTGAAAGGCCTCAACCCTGATTCTGTCTCTTCTAAGACCCTTAATGTTGGTTGCTTTAATATTTTCAAAATTGGATATTTTGACTCACCGCAGAGGCCCATGACTTTGACAGTCTTGCTGGGACAGAAATCAGAATGGCAAGTTTCCTTATCAATGTGGTTTTTGTGGTTTCCTGCTTTTCATTGCGTATATAATTGGTAACCATAACTCACAACTTGTTAATGTTATAATTTTGCCTTCAGAGCATCCTTTTAAATATTGCATTATTTGCGTAGATTTGAAATGTGGGCGATTTTATGGGATCACATAAAAATCTTGACTTCCGGTTTCTCTGGAAAATCTAGAGGAACTGGCAAACTGGGTCTTCATTCGTGAATGGCCGCAAATCGCTACAGCCGTGTAGCAGCTGATCCCTTTGATGAGGATTGTGTCCTGTGGCTGGCCACAGCCCCAAGCATTCCCCATAGCCTTGCCCTTGGCTCAGCTGTAGTCATGCAGGTTACCCACCTCAGTTCTCCAGGTCTTTGACCTTGAAGTCCCTGCAAGGGAGGCAGGCAAAGAGAACTATGACTCCCAGAGCAGGGCCATCTAATGAAGCACCTAAAATCAGGTAGGGGAGCTATGGTGGCTAGATTTATTCCTCCACAAGTTGCTAGATTTATTCCTCCACAAGTCCCCATAGCGCTTCATCGCTTTTATGGTGCTTAGAGCAACACAGAGTTTAAGAGCACCCACTTTAAAGCCAGCCTCACCTGGATACAAGTCCCATCTCACCACTTACCTGTTAACGTGACCTTGGGCAAGTTTCTTCACCCTTCTGAGTTTTGGATTTTCTTATCTGTAAAATGGTGCTAATGCCCCTACCTCATACAGTTGTCATGGAGGTTAACTAAAGAAACACACGTACTTTAGTAGGCCTGTGCCTACTAGCAGTGCTTACTACTGTATACATTATAATTATACCCTTACCACCTTTTATTTTCCATCAAAACTATTTGTGCCTATTTTGCTGCCTCTCATGAGACTGTGAATGCCACAAGAGTGAAAGGCCTACCTGTGTCCCCTTGGTTTTCCCTATACTGCCATGCACAGAGGAAAAAACCAGGAATATTTGATGCTTGGACAAAAGAATTATTCATTGCCCTAAGAGGCAGTATGCATGCAAGGCCAACAGAGGGGTCTAAAGGTGCTATTGGACCCCCAGGGAGGGAAATATGACCTCTAGTTGGATTCTTCCAGCTTTGGGGCACCACCTCCAACAGCTGGTGGAGCAGTCTACCAGGCTATGCAAGATCTGGCTGCTGCTTACCTTTCCAGCCTCACTGCCGGTCCCTCTCTACCTGGCTCCCCACCCTTCAGCCAACTGGTGTGTTCCAGGAACAAAGCCAAGTTCATTGCTGTTTCACAGCCTTTGCACTTGCCCCACCCCATGACTGAACCCTTCTCATCATTGGATCTCAACTTGCATGCATCTTGCCAAAGAGATCTCAAGATCCAAATGAAACAGCCCCTCTCCCCAAGAGCTATCACTCTACCCAGTCACACTTCATCATATTACCCTCTTTATTTTCTATACAGAACTCCTTGAAATGACCTGTTCTTTTACATTGTTTACTTGGATTATGTCCCTCACCCTCCAGTAGCATCTAAGCCCAGGCGTGCAGGGACCTTGTGTGCCTTGATCACTGCTGTATGTCTAGTGGGGTAGGGGCTCAAGGAATGTTTGGTTATAATGTAACATGAGGATCAATCCTTCATGGATCCATGTATTCAAAAAATGAAAAATGATCATTGAGGAGAAAGCCCCATCTAATTGTGTAGCGAAGCTCAGACAGGCCCATCGGAGGCCCAGCACGCGGGGAGTGGGAGGGATTCACTCAGCATTGTGAATGAGCCTGTCCCTGTCCCGAAGGTTGTAAGTGAAGAGGACTTCCAGAGATGGGCCAGTTTCCGGCGTGAGGCCGAGGCGTCCCTCGACAACCGAGATGAGCTTCTGATGGAGACCGCCCAGCATCTGGAGAATCAACTCACCTTACTCGGTAGCTAAAAATAAGTCTCATTAAGTGAAAAATAGGAATGCTGCAAGCTAGAAAAGAAGTTCTTCGCCCTGATTCTGACACTGCTACAAATGTGTCTCAATTAGGAACCTTCCCTGGGTGCCCTTCCAGGTATTTTCGCTCAAAAGGGCCGTGCCAATACCCAACCCAGACTCCACACGCAGCTCCCTGAGGATGCCCAGAGGCATCCTGCACTCCCTGCTGGATGAAGCCTACGACTTTGGTTGCTTCTCCTCCCCTTGACCAAATGTTTATTGAGCACCTACTATGTGCCAAGTAGCATGCTAGGCCCTGGGGCTACAACAGGGAACAAGAGCCCAGGCCCTGTCCTCCCGGAGGTCAGAGTCTAGTGAAGAAGCTGGGTGATTAAACAAGTCATTTCAACAGTGTGATGAGGGCTGGGCTGGAAGGTATCCTGGGTAGGATGGAGGCATAAGGTAGAAAGTGCCAGCCTCGCCTGGAACCAAGGAGGGAGTAAGAAGGCCAGAACTAAACAAAGAAGAGGAGCTTCTGCTCAGGCAAAGGGAGAGAGTGTGCCAGGTGGAGGGAAGGGCCCAACAAAGGCCCGGAGGTGAGAAAGCCTGGGCCGGCTGCTAACTCAGAGGTCCGCCCGTGGCGGAACCACGGGGTGTGGGGGACAAGGATGTGGGTGAGAGGTCAGCGGGACCCAGATTATGAAGGACCATGTAAATCTCGTGCTAAAAGTTTGGAGAGGGGAAGAGAGTGAAAGCAGGGACAGATTTGTGCTTTCCAAAAATGACTCAGGCTGCTGCTGTATAGAAGTTAGATGGATTGATACGCTGGAGGAACCATGAGAAGCGTGGAGGCTGCAGTTAAGCAACAGCGCTGTATTTCTGTTGGAGGTAAAGCATTATCGAGGGAGAAGGGGGAGGGAGGCTTTATGTATCAGGATTAATCCCCTCACAGCTAGGGAGCAAGATCTGAGAAAGGCCTTGTGGGAACAGCATGCACACACTAGCCACGTGACGGATGCTTGCTTTCATCTTGGAAAGCAATGCTGAGCTGGAGACGAGGGCCAAGTATTGCTGTGTGCCCAGGGGCACATCCCTGCACCCCTCTGAGCCTCAGCTTCTCCTCTGGATAAAACACACTCCTCCAAGCAGCCCAGCCAGACCGGGTGCATGGGGGAAAGACCCAGTGTCACTGTAATAAGAAGGTGTTGTTACCTTTGTATTTAAAGCTAGTGACATGATTTGGTAAGATGGGTGACAATCAGGAGGAGAGAGTTTTGCTCCCCACTTCCTCCAGCCTTTTGTTTCTTGCCTGTGTTTCGACTGAGGGGCCTTTGCCTGCTGCCTCACAGGCCTCCCTGAAATCTGGCCACGAGAGCTCATGTTAGCAGGAACCAGAAGGTAGCGAGGCCAGATAGCTCTATCCACTGCACCAGGCCACTGTGAAGTCACCCCATTAGGGCACTGACCCTGTTCTCACCCCCTGAGGTTTCTTTTGTTTGGGGGAGCACTCTGGTCCCAGTGGGTGAGAATTGCTCCACACCTGGTCCTGTGAGAAAGAGAACACACTTGTCAGGACCTGTCAGCTTCCTTGGCTGGGAAAGGCTTTCACAGCCTTCCTGTTTCATTTTCTCGTTCACACAAATAAATGTGTTTTCCTCCTCCCCCCCTTCACTCTGCCTCCCTCGAATATAAATCAGCTTCAGAGTCTCACCCTCCAGGCTCACCCGTGGAGGGACAGACGAGGCTCGAGCCATCGCTCTTCCTGGGGCTGTTTACCTGCGCATTTGGGCCTCAGATAGAAAACAGGCACGTTTCGGAAGGATAGCAAGGTGGTTTTTCTTCCCTCAGGGTGGCTTGGGAAGGAGGGCTGGGCTGGGAAGAGATTTCATCTTGCCACCAAAAAACTGCCACGCCGTTACAAAGCTGCCTTGCATGCACGCTCGGTCCCACAACGTAAAATGACCTTTTCACTATGCATCTCGCATAACTGCTTTGCCAACCTATTGTCACTCGGAATTATCAAAAGAAATGAAATGCCTTGCTCCTGCCAGAGTGAAATGGGTGGCCATTCTTCTGTGGTCTGAAATGAATCTCAATTTCAGTGCTGGTTTATTCTTGCTTAATCACTGAGCTACTATTCAGTACCTCAATGTAGTCATCAGGGTTGGTGCAAAGCTTGAGATGATTCAAAAATTATGGAATCTGCATGTTCCATTCCCTCCAAGAATAGTGTCAAAAACCTGAGTCTATTAACTCTGCTGTGAGCAGTTGCAGAGCAAAGATTTCAGCCTCTCCACTCCCATTCCCTCTATGCCGTCCACTCCCCTGCTAGCCTCCAACTGTTAGTCCTGAATTCATCCTGCTTCCTCCCAACTCCAGTCCATGCTCTAGAATGATCTTAAAAGTCAAAACTGGTCCTGTCATCTCCAACTTAAGCCCCTGTAATAGCTTTCTTGGCTATCACAGAAACCCCCAATCCCTTCACGTCCTGACCAGGCTCTGTGAGATCAGCACCTTATCTCCCTTCCTGGCCCCATCTCCCACCCCACTTTGCCTCCCTTTCTGTCTCTTGTCTTATTCTGACCCCTGGGCCTTCACGCATGCAGATCCCCCTGCCTGGAATTCACTTCCTTCTCCATCTCTCAGCTTTATCTTCCAGGTCTGAGCTTCAATGGCTCTTTCTCAGCAATGCCTTCCGTGACCTTCCAGATAAAGTTCAGGCCTCCTGGTGTATGTTCACATGGCACCCTGGGCTTCTCTCCTCATGGCGCTCAGTTATAAATCCTTATTCAACAGGCCTTAGGGCTCTGAGAGGGCAGGGGCCAGCACTATGTCACTGGTGTATCCTGGGTGCTAAGCATGCCTCGAACATGGAAGATACTTAATATGATCTTTGCCTGGCTTGCTAGGGCTTTGGGGAAATTAAGCAGCTACTTTTCCACTGTAAATGTGATGTCTGCTGTCTTTGATCATCACTCCAGGAGCCACTGGGATCGAAGACCGGCTGCAGGAAGGAGTTCCAGACACAGTTGCTGCTCTGCGGGAAGCGGGGATCCAGCTCTGGGTTCTGACCGGAGATAAACAGGAGACAGCGGTCAATATCGCCTATTCCTGCCGACTGTTAGATCAGACCGACACTGTTTACTCCATTAACACAGAAAGTCAGGTGAGGCCACAGTTTCTGGACCCAGACATCCAAGTGCAGAGAACCCCTTAGGCCAACAGGAAACAGGCTTATGGGTGGGATTTGGGCATGCAGGGAAGCACCCCTACCCCAAAATCTTAGAGCACAGAGGGCCCTGGACGTCATCAAGCCCAATATCCTCCACCTCATCCCCACACATGGTTGACCACTATATTTACATTATGTCTAGCTGTACATATTAGAAAGTTTTGCATCTCCCGAATCCCATCTGTGGCCAGTCTCCCCATTCTACAGATGAGGAAACTGAAGACCACTGAGGCTACGCCACCTGCCCAGGGTCACCCTGGTAGTTTCTGATTGACCGAGTCTAGAATGCTGTTCTCCTCCAGGCCAGCGTTGTTTGCATGATGCCATACTGTTTGCTCACAGAACCTCAATCGTTTAGATTAACTTGTCCCTTGTAAACGCCCCGATTCAATTTGAAGTTATTCTGAGTTTAAAATCCCAGCCCCAATTAGTAAGTCAAATTGGTTTGCCATAGAATGAAACCTGAAGTGAATGACATGAGACCAGTACCTTTTGATGGAGAGAGAAAGAGATAAGCGAAGTTCTAAAACTGATTCTTTCAGCCGGGATAGGTTGTGGGTGACAGGGAGCAAGGTTTGGAGAGAGGACTGTGCACAGTCTGCGGAAGTGTACTCAAAGTTGTAACAACTTTATATTCAGGAGGAAAAATCTATTTTCACAATGCAAACTGCAGAAAGTAAGCTGCCACCATCTTCTCGGCTGATGAATATGGGAAGTGGGCGTTGAGCTGTGTGTTCCTGTCATCAGAAGGAATTGGATTAGAGGTGGAGCGTTAGCAGGAAAAGCGCTGTGTTGCAGGGGTGGTGCGTGGAGGGTGCCTAGAGACCTAGAGCATGCCATGGGGAGAAGCAGAAGAGGAAGTTGGGAAAGGGACAGACCACACCGAAAAAGAGGCTGAGGGATGATAGAATCTCTCACACTTTCAGTTTTGCCTGAGGCTGATCTTGACCCAGAATAGAAATTTCCAAAGTTTAGTGTTAATTTTTATTCCATGAAGAATCCATATACACATATTAAAAAAAAAAATAGTATATACTATTGAAAGTGCCTGAGGCCCTTCACATGAATTGGAAAAAGCATTTACTTTCCTGTCAGGTGCACAGATTATGCTATGATTAGATTAAACCCCAGTGAATTTTCAAAATGAAAATAATCTCAGGGAAATATTTGACGTTCATATTACACTTAGGAGAGAAAGTAATTTGCAGCTTGCTTGAGTGCCTGATCCCTGTAATAGTGTTGATGTCTGCCTGCCCCGCTGACAACGGAAATTTTGTTTGCAATGATCATTTCACTCCAGGTGATTTCAAAAGGAGGATATCACAAACCTGTGAGTCAGCCAGTCTGAGGGGAGGGCGGGGGGGCTTCTGTAGGTTCTGTTAAATGCAAGGCATTCCCGTAGGAAGTTGAAGATGCTTGTTGATTAATTAGCCAAAGTTCCTAAGGAATAATGGGCCACACTCCATATGGAGTTCAGTCACTGACAACTCTTTTAAAGCTGTCCAGGACCCTCCAAGGTAGTGCCTGGGTTTAGGCCCTGCCCACACCGCTGGGCCCCCTGAGCTGATAAGATGAGTCTTTTTTCATCCTCTTGTCTGGGAAAAAGGGGCAGGTGCCTAGATATGTTCAGACAGAAACTGGGGAAATCCATTCTAAATCTCTGATTTATTTAAACCTCAGTTTAATGTAATTACATATTCAGTGAAGATTTTCTCCAAGGGGTTTAATCTGCCTAATTCATTATAAATTGATTCAGGGCTACCGTTTCTTTGTTGTGCATCTTAAAGCTATAAACAAGTTAGGGGACCTAGCTAGACCTCAGGGTTTGCATCCATAAGATGAGAGAATTACCCATCACTGGAAGTATTAATCTGTCAAGAAATGTTCTGAGGAACAGAGACCTGAAATGACTTGTAAGAAATAGAACACATTATACCAGCGTGACATATTGTTATTTACCATCAGATTAGTATTATGTATTATCTTAAACCACTCCCGTATCAGTTCCCATCTTGCTGAACTATTTCCACTCCTATTCCCAAGCAGTCCCTCCTCTTTGGGCCATTAATTTGCTTCCAAATTAATATTGCTTTGATGCTGTTTGAAATATTACAGAGAAATGTAAAAATCAGAGTGATTCTTAGGTAAGTAATCTCTATGGTGGTCAAGTTTTATAACTGTTTTACTAAAGCATAAAGGGAGATTTTCAACCTATGTTTCCAACGTTGCTTACTCATACCAAATTCATTATTCTCCTTTTAGGAAACCTGTGACTCAATCCTCAGCTGTGCATTGGAAGAGGTCAAGCAATTTTATGGACCACGGAAGCCAGACCGCCTGCCTCCTGGGGCACCTCCCCCGACCTCAGGAGCTGCTATTCCAGAAGTTGGCTTGGTCATCGATGGGAAGACACTGAATGCCATTTTCCAGGGAAAGCTGGAGAAGAAATTTCTGGAGTTGACCCAGTACTGCCGGTCTGTCCTGTGCTGCCGCTCCACGCCCCTCCAGAAGAGTATGATAGTCAAGCTGGTGCGAGACAAGTTGAGCGTCATGACCCTTTCCATAGGTACCAATCAGGCTGAGATGTGGGTGGCGGTTTGGCAAGAGGCCCTGATCAGAGGTGGGGGAGGGGGTCAAATATCAAAGTCAAGATGCTTAGGCTGAGGATCAGTGTCTTAGAGGGAGAGAGTCCACAGTGACAATCAAGATGAAGGAGATGAAACAGAAGCTAAGCGGAGTGGGAGAATGAATCAGAGTTCTCAGGATTAGCGAGTCAGCTAAGAAAAAATCAGGACTTGGGTGGAGGGCAAAGCCAAGAGTGTCCTCAAATTCAAAACATCCAGGTAGCTCAATAATACACACTCAGCCAACTCAATTCTGGGACATGAACCATTTCCATGTTTCCTTCAACACTTAACACATGGCACAATGCTATGGACCTCAGGTGTGTGTGGATTTGATATCCTGCCGAGTGTTGATGGCTGCTGGGGAGATTTTACAAGTTGGACCTTTCCCATATTTAATTTTGTATGTTCTTTCCTAAAGACAAGGCCCAGCACAAAGCATACACTCAATTAAATGCCAGCTTGTTGTTGGTTGATGAAGAATTCTTCAGAGGAGGCTAAGCTTTGATCGTGGATGAGGCAGATAGATGAAAACTGTACTTATTTCAAACCTCCCAGGAACAACCAAAACTGGTTTACAAAAACCTTCATGAGGTGGCCTCCATGAACCCCCCACCTGACATCTTCCTCTCCCCAACACTCAGCACTCCACGTTCCAACCAAATGAAACTGCTTCCTGTTCTCCATGAGCCTTGTCCCATCTGTCTTACTTCCAAGCCTTTGCACAAGCCGCTTCCCCTGTAAAACCCCCTCCTACCTAATCTTCCTTTGCTCTGTGAGCTCCCACAGCACACAGCCCTCATAGTTCCAAAGTACTGTCATGCTTTCTATGATGGCAGGCTTAGGAGACCATGAGTTCTTTGTGTAGAGGGTCAATGTCAGTCTTATTCAGCATTCCATTCCACACTCAGCACACACCAAGAACACAGTAAACATTGCATTCGGTTGGGGACATTCTCACAGATAGTTCCTGGTTCTCTTCCCCCCTATACAGACATGGGAAGACACTTTCTTTCCTGGGATTCCAAATAAGAAACTTATTATACATTGATTTTTTTTGTTCCTGGTCTTCAGGTAAAATCAATTTTTTTTAAAAAAAAGGGGGGTTATGGGGGCACAAAGAATACAGGAAGCAGAGTTTTAGCAACTGCATTCTAATTTTATTCCCTTGAATCGCCCTCTTCAAAACTTCAGACACACATGAGTCAATAGACCAGGATTGATTCCCTGAGGTAAGAGATTGACTTCACTCCTATAGCAACAGAAACAAAACCAGCAGGGCGAGAAATAGCATGATTATACACCTCTACTCCCACTGGTTTGCTAACGGAAGAGGCTAAAGGGTGGATTTGTTCTGCCATGGGGAAGATTAAAAGTCTGCATTGCTCTGCTATCAAAAAAATCATTAGGAGAATAATGGCTACTTGTAATGACAAAATTTTTAAGATCAATAAATTTTGTTGCCAAATAATTAGAGGGAGAAAATTCTCTCCCCCAATTCAATATTTTCTACGATGCCTAATATAAATTTAATTGCAGATTATTATGAGAGCCTCCTGGGAAAAGAGGTGGGGTCAGGAGGTGAAGGCAATACAGCCTACAAACCACAGCCCGAATCCAGCCCACTGCGTGTTTTTATAGGGATGCTAAGGATGGTTTTTATTTTTCTAAATGGAAAGACAGCTGTTCAGTTTTGCTACTTGGCTCACAAAGCCTAAAATATTTACTATTTGGCACTTTACAGAAAAAGTTTGCTGAACTCTAGTCTGAAAGACTAAGTGTTAGGAAGAGCCAGGCTTGAGGGGAAGGCCTCGCCGTACAGAGCTGTGCTGCCCAAAAACGGTTGCCACTTAGCTATCTGTGGCTATTGAAGTTTAAAATTAAAATTAAGTAGAATTTCATCAGACACGTTTCAATAGTCACAGGTGGCTAGTGGTCTCCATCATGGACGGTAAAGACATAGGACATTTCTGTCATTACAGAAAAATCTGTGTGACGGCGCTGGCCCTCACTTCCTGCTTCCCGAATTAGTTCATTGAATGGGAACTCAGTGCGACTAAGTGTACCTCAGCCAAACAATTAGTCAATCCCCATTTTCTATATTCAGAAACTAAACTGAATGTCATCCCTGTCCTTGGGTACCACTGTCAATCTCTGACAATGTAGCTGCCCAAACATCTCAGCTGCCTTGATATGGTCAGTATTCTATGTTATACTGAGTTGGGGAAGGTATTCGTCTTGAGATCAGATCTCAGTTCCAATTTTCCTGGGTCCCTTCACTAGTTGGATTACTCTTGCCGAGTCCCGGTGTTGCTCAAATTCTCCACTGGCTCCTTAGTAAAGTCCATTGTCACATTTGTGAAAGCTTTTTGTGTAAACTGTAAAGCACTGCTCAAGCCTCACTTATTCACCATTGCATTCCCAATACCTAACGTCATGCTTAGTATCTGTTGAATGATAAAGGGAAAGTGGGACCTCTTGTCCAAAGAAGAAATGACATCTCTCAAGCCAAATACTATAGCAATTGACTTTTCCTGTAGCAATGTTCAAGGATTCAACTATATATAAATGGGACACTTTAGAACCACTGGTCTAAAACGCTTCTCGGTGTCCCATAGCAGCTGGACCAGGAATAAAGGTACCTCATGACCTCTCCTCTTTCAGGTGACGGAGCAAATGACGTAAGCATGATTCAAGCTGCTGATATTGGGATTGGAATATCCGGACAGGAAGGCATGCAGGTACAGTTCCCTTCAACTGGCCTTGTTTCTTTCTGTCCTCGATCCTTATTGGAGAGTTAAGGCATTCCTTGCAGTGTTAGGGGTGCTTCTCCCTGAGAGCTTTGCAGAATTATCATCTGAAAGTCAGGGGGCTTCCCGTCTATACGTACGTAATGTCCATCCCCACCTCCCTGCAGCTCTGTCCTTCAGAACACAGGGAGATCAAATGATGCCCCACCGTTTACAGACAGCCGGTGATACCCATATTCTAAAGCCACGTAGTACCCAGCCATTCAGGGAAGTCTAAGCCCTCCTCTGACTCCATGCTTTCCTCCCTAGAATCTTCACCCACATCCAAAGTTGCGATGCCCTCCATGAGCAGGGACAGAAATAAGGACATCTGAAAACATTTTTGAATTGCCATGTTAGTCTTGATGGCTAGATAGACCTAGAAATCGCTTGGTACCCTTTAGTAGTGTACCTAATTTATTCAAAATCCAGCTTGGAACAAGCATACCAGCTGGAGCTGCTAATGCTTTCCATTAAAATAGACCCCACGTTGGGGCTTTGAACCATTAACAACTATATTCCCACCACCAATGCAGACAGTAGGCATTGCCTAAATTTGATGGTGAGGGGAAAGAACACTGAACTTTTGAGTATCTAGCTTATGCCAACACTCTATCGGGCACTTCACAATTTTTTTTTCCCAGTTCATTTTGACAATCACCACAACCCTGTGTAGTAGGGGCTGTTATTCCATTTTTTTCAGATGAGGAAACTGAGCCTGAGAGAGGTTACACGGCCTGACCAAGATTCAGGCCAGGATTTATAACCAGGCTTGTCCAAGCCCCATGCTCTGAACAGAGTCCTAGGAACTGTGTCTCGTTCTGAGTAACCCCAAGGGCAGAAGACGCATTCCATCTGAGCATGGCGCAACTGGCCTGCCTCAGGAGGTGGCCAAAGGTGTTCAGAGGTCTGAGGATTACTTGCCCGGAACCCCCTACTCTCTGGTTAACCATCGCATCTCTAGCATGGTGCCCAACACAGACGGAGCCTTAATAAATGCTTGTTGGATAAAAGACGAAGGGCCAAACTAGACCACAGGCCCCTTCTGACCTGCGCTTAGTGGAATCTAGTGAGGTTTGGAGTTCCCGGAGGAGAGGGTGGGATGTCAGAGTCTAAAGAGCCCTATAATCACAAAGGGTCTTTCAGACCCTACCAGTTGTGGACCTAGAACAAAGCACCACGCTTGAGGGAGCCTCTTTGGTATACTGGCAGCCGTGGATGGACGCTGACGTCTGCGTTCTTCCCTCTCAGGCCGTCATGTCCAGTGACTTCGCTATCTCCCGCTTCAGACACCTCAAAAAGCTGCTGCTCGTGCACGGCCACTGGTGTTACTCACGGCTGGCCAGGATGGTGGTGTACTACTTCTACAAGAACGTGGTGAGTAGCCCACGGGAACCTCCCTGCTGGGCCGTGGGAGTCTGCAGGGGACCAGCTCTCCCCAGCAGTAGAGCATCTCGGCATGAGGGAATGAGTCAGGCAGACCTGGATTTTGAATCCTGACACTGCCCCTTTACCAGCTGTGTGACCTTGGGCACTTCTCTAGGCTTCCATTTCTCTTGATAAAATGGGGCGAATGCCACCTATTTTGTAACATCATTGTGAGGATTGGTGATACTGTATGTAAAGCACCTGGCATGGGAGGCAGCATGGGTAGTTACAAACATGGAGTCTGGAGTCACACATATTTGGTTCAGATCTAGGCTCCCGTATTTGGTAATGGCCCTATGCCCTAGTTCCGCCATCTGTAAAATTGGGCTGGTCATAGTACCTTTCTCATATATTGGCTATGAAGAGGAAATGGGAACTTGTATATAAAGTGATTGGCATGTGGTAAGTACCCCCATAAAGTTAGCCATTTTTTTTTTATCATTGCTGCTGTTGTTACTCTTAGAGGGGCTCTGTAAATGAGGTTTATTTTCTGACTGCAAGCAAGAAGGAGTTTAAAGAACTAGTGTGACTTTTCTCTTAGATTTCCTCCCCAGAGAGCGCCACCCTAATTCAAGAGCCCTATCCAACCCCTTGGGAGAGTAAAAGTAGATGTTTAGGACAGAGTCCTTGGCTCCCACGTGAGACCCTACATACCATGTCCCAACAGGGAGCTCAGAGAGGTCAGGACGCTGAAGAAAATGCCCATTGGCAAAAATGTTTAGAGTAGGGGAAGGTCATCCAGGTTTTAGTCTTGTCTGACTCTAGCGTGCTGTGTGAACTTGGAAGAGTCACTTAACCTCTCTGAGCCTTGGTTTTCTCATCACTAATATAAGGAGACTATAACTCTGTCTGTCCCTAGAACTATTATCAGCAGGCTTTAGTTTCAAAGCTCTGGAATGCATATAGCGCTATACAAACACAATCATGTGAAGATATTATTGTTTCTCCTAAAAGGTATGTTGATGTCTGCCTTGTAATAGGGGTCCCATGCAGGCACACACCAGCTGAGGTATTAAAACTGTCAGTGGCTCTTGTGTGAAAAGCCCTTGATGAACAATGGGTATCGGAAGAAATCAGTAGCATTGCTGTACTAAGGGAAGGAACAAGGCCTGGGTTTTTCGTTATCTAGTTCAAGGACTTTTGAATAATCCCCAAAAGTCTCTGAATAGAATCCATTTCAATTTGCATAAGGAAACAGGAAGGATTATGAGCAGGGTGATGGAAGAGAAACATGAGCTAAGTAGCAGCAAAAAGTATATTATTTTTCCTTTGCCCCATTCTCCCAGTCCTGCACTCAGGCACTGCCACAGTTATCCTCACTCAGGAGTAAACATTTTTGTGTAAAGTTCAATATATATGTATATTGAACTTTATATATATGTGTGTGTGTGTGTATATATAAATATATATATATATACACACACATACACATGTATATAGAAACAGCATGGCAAAAAATAATATTAATTTGATACACTGAATGGTAATATTTCAGCATGTCTATGCAAAGTCACTCACTTTGACTTGAAATCATTCTCAGCATGAAAGACTTTACTTAGAAGTCAAAATGCCCTGTTTATTTTATTTTTGGGGGGTGGGCTTCCAAAGGAATCATTCTTTTGAATAAGCACAATCTCTTCTCTGCATTAAATTTGTGAAATAGGAAAGGAAACATTTCCAGCCAGCCATGCTTTCAAAGCCCAAATGATATTTCTTTCCAGCCCGGTGCCATGCTCAAAATTGTGACACTAACGCTGCATTATCTCCCCATTGCAATTAGAGGGCGGAGAACTATGACTTGCACATCCGAAACCAATTTCAGAGGGGATTAAAACTCTGCCTGCTCTGAAATGTGAGCGATGAATTAATTACTGCACTGGGAGCCTCTTGGGAGGAAAAGCAGGCGCCCCATCTCCGGGGCTCAGTGCATTCCCTCCGAGGTGCCAAGACTTCAGCCAGGCAGAGGAAGTGGAAACAAGCAACAGGGCCTCGGAGGAAGAAAACACTCTTTCATGTTAAAACTCCAGCATGAGTGTTAGGAGAATAGAACCACATGAAAGGTTGTTCAAATCACTGTTGCACATCTGCTGTGTCAGGAACACTACCAGGGACTGGGTATCCAGACAGAGGTGGTCCCTGACCTCTGGAGGCTTACAGCCTAAATCAGGGCTCAGCAAACATACTCTGCAAAGGGCCAGATGACAAATATTGTTGTCAGTTTTGTGGGCCATCCAGCCTCTGTGGCACCTACTCAGCTCCTCTGGGGCGACAGGAAAGCAGGTAAGAACGAGATGCAAATGAATAGATGGGGCCGTATCCCAGTACTCACGGCTGGATGGGGCCTGCAGGGTGTAGTTGGTCATCTCCTGGCCTCAACAAATCTTGCTTCTCAAAATATGGGTTTTGGACAGGCAGCATTAGAACCACCTGGACCTTTGTTAGAAACTCAGATTCTCATGCTCCATCCCAGACTTGCTAACCCAAAAGCTGCATTTTTAATAAGATCCCCATGGTTCCTGTGACTCTTAAAGATTAACAAGCGCTAGTATAGAGGAAAAGAAATTAATTTTAACAGGTCTCCCTAGGGGTAAGTCAGGGTGCTGTGGACCTATCACCAGGAGACTCTGAACCTGATCAACCAGGAAGAAGTAACATTCCACTTATCACATAAAAAACGGTAAAGGTAACTGACTTAACCAGCTTCCCTGCTAAAGAGAGGCTTGACAACCTGAGTCCTTACAGGAAATGTTTCACGCAGCTTATATAATTTTATAGCATCCCTAGTATCTAATTCCAAAACAGAAGTATAAGTGACTTACAGTAAATATACAAACACAGCAGAGATGCTATAAAAGAAATATAAGAGTATAGAGCAGGAACCACAGAGAGGAAAGTTAATTGCACCAGAACCCTGGGATAAGACGCTAAGTATTAAATGTCTGGTTCAAATAAGCAGAGCGGTTCCCCAGTGAAAAAAACAAGCAAAACACTCTCCCTTTGCTCTAAATTCAGAGATCAATTTGTCAAGCAAACCTTTAGAAAAAGGCCACACAGAAATCTTCCAGAACTTGTCTTCCATGGCATTTTTGTAGGAAATGAAAATTAACTTCCATAGGGTCACCCTTTGCTTCTAACGAGCCTTAATAAAAATCAATATGAAATCATAATTCAGTAAGGACATCTCTATGGGAAACTGGGCCAAAGATATCCAAGCACATAGTGTTTTGTTGCTTTAACTAGGGCTTAGTGTGTGGGGTGGGGTAAGGCCCTCAGTAAATGCTTGTGCTCTGACGCCCAGCTCACCAGAGTTCTCCACGCCACCCTGAGCTCTGTACTATTTCCTTGGTACTTAGTACTTCCTGGTACCGTTTGGCAAAGCATTAACATCTGCTATCATTTACAGAGAGCCTGCCATGTAGGAGACACTGGGTTAAGAACTTTACATACATGTGTAAACAGGAGAGTAAGTGGCGTATAGGGGTTCAGAGCGTATGTGCTAGATAGAGCCAGACTGGGTTCCAATCCCAGCCCTGCTCTGTTACTTGATAGCACTGTGGCACTAAGTAACTTATGCTATCTCCCATCTATAAAGTGGGGCTACTACCCAACTCACGTAAATGAGTTAAGATCTGTGAGGTACTTAGAACAGTGCCCCGTGTATAGTATAATAAATGCTTAATTTGTCCAGATTAAACTTAGTTGATGGCGACCATGACAATGATGACAGCAGGTGCTAACAGCCTTGTGGGAACAGACCTCTTTCAGAGCCAGGAAACTTCTCACTAGTCATCTGGGGAGAAAAGCCAAAGGATGGAGCTCCTTGGCTGGAAGAATCTCAGTCAGCATTGTGACTGCATAACCTAAAGACGGGCCTGAGAAGGCCCGGGGTGGCAGAAGAACTTTGAAACACTCAGGTGCTGGTTGAACCACTTCCTGACTCTGAACTTGGCAAGGGATAACTGTATGTGTATGTGAGAGCCTCAGAATCCTTGTTTGTAGAGGGGGACTAGTAATATTGTTAAGATATAACGTATTTTATTAGTCTAATAAATAGAATTATATTATTAACAATAATATTAATCTTGTAAGGTTGCTGGGACAAATTGTAATGTAGATTACATACCAGGCACAAATAGAAGTTCAAATAACAATTATTGGTGTTACTAATAGTAATAATAGTAACAGGTTGTTGTTATTATTATTATTATTATTATTATTATAAGTAGAAAGCCTCTTCAAAGTAAGCCTCTTCAAAGTAACACTGGCCCAGCAGTCAGGGAATGAGAATTCTAGCTTGAACACAAACTTGCTGAATGACTTTTTAACTATACCCTTCACCCCTCTGTGCCTCAACCACAGGGAGTGGAGACGTTCTAGCCCTAACTCCAGCACCAGCTGCTTACGTGTCTTTGGTCAAGTCACCAGCCCACACCACTATATGGTAGACGACCATAGTGACCCAGTCCATCTCAGGCGGGGCGGTCTTGAGTGGAAAGGAGCTTTAGACAACATAAAGCACCCATTAGGCAAAAAATGTTCTTATCCACCCTTCTGAGTTGCAGGCCATTACGTAAGTATTAGAAGATGAACCTTCTCGTGAAGCCATCTTCACACCCCTGGTCCAGTCTTTCCATCATCCCTTCCTCAGGGACGTCCCTTGCTCTTACCACACATACTAATAATAACTGCCGCCTTTCAGAGTCACATGCCATAGTCTACATACCACCACTCCCATCTGAAAGATGGCAAGATGATGTTCAGAAAGGTTAAGCAATTTGTTCAAGATCACACAGCTGATAAGCAACACAACTGGGGATTGAAAAACGAGTCCTCCCTGCCCCCAAAACCTGTGCCCTTAACCACCATGGTATACTTACCAGAACAAGGTCCTAAAGAACATTTAATAGCAGCAGTAACTAGTTAGCAGTAATAGATTCAGGAGCTGCTGCTCTAAGGAGTCGAGCTACCTCCAATCCTTACCTAACGTTGCATGTCCCCAGTGAGGAAACTGAAGCTCCAAGTCAGCGTGGGGACTTGTCAGAGGCTCCCAAGCAGCAGCTGGCAAGCGGCTGGCTGCCCGCGGGTCCCCACTCTCAAGCCCATGCTCTCTGCCCACAGAGCTACGTCAACCTGCTGTTCTGGTACCAGTTCCTGTGCGGGTTCTCTGGCTCCACCATGATCGACTACTGGCAGATGATCTTCTTCAATCTCTTCTTCACCTCCTTGCCTCCTCTCGTCTTCGGCGTCCTCGATAAAGACATCTCAGCGGAAACACTCCTGGCGTTGCCTGAGCTGTACAAGAGCGGCCAGAACTCCGAAGTAAGGGGCTCGGGCAGGTAGAGGGAGATGACCTTAGCCTCTCCCTGACCTATAGCTCCTCCCTGGAGGTGTCAGAGAATGAGCACTGGGCTGGGGGATCAAGAGCCCTGTGTCCCAGTCACTCCTCTGCTGCTTACCCCATGTGACCAAGGAATTTTGCTCCCCATCAGCGGCCTATGTCTCATTTGCTATTGAGGGTGATGGACCAGACCAGTGACTGTTTTTTCCTTTTAGTGATTTCTTAGTAACATCACCTGTTAACATGGGCCTGCTCTAATTGAAGGGGGAGAGGGCCTGCAGAAAGACCCCCTGCTTAGCCAGCTCCACTCTCCAGGCTTTCAACAGGAACCCCTAGGTTTGGTTTGGGAACCCCTGGGATTAAAAGCTAATTTAAGGTGAAGTATTCATCAATGAGGTCTTCTGCCTCATGTCAGGGAAGGCAAAATTTGGAACTCAAGATTATACACGGTCTAGAACTTGCTGGTATCGAGTAGACTACAGAAGGCCTGAGAAGCCACCAAGATGGTTTCTTAGAAAACAGAGGTGACGTTAGACAGCGGGCACTCCAGGTAGCCAGGCTGGCACTGACACAGGCCAGGAGCCTGGATGCAGGAGACAGAGAGGGAACCGGAGTGCCTCGAGGAGCAGCTCTGGGAAAAGGGACATCCAAATGCCTGCGAGTTCCTTTGCACCTGGGGGAAAGGAGAGCAAAGCCAGATGTGGTGTTTGAGAGCTGGTGATCGTCTGTGGACAGCCAGCAGAGAGCCAGGCCCACCCTAACCCAAAGATGGGAGAACACAGCAACCCCAGGACGTCAGGCAAGGGAGACATGGTGGCAGTACGTGTACATCCTGCGCCCTTCTAATTGATTGCCCCCTTCCCACAGGGATGCTGGCTACATTACGTGTTCCCTGAGTATCTAACATTAAAAGAAGTTCATGGAGCAAACTGCAAATGGTTTCACTTTTCCCAGGCTAGGCAGGAAATGAGAAGGATCATCTCTAAAAACATTGAGCTGTGTTGCTTGGCAACCTGTGATCCTGGTCTGTGACTGAGATCCTTTCAAATGCCATTTAGAAACCTGAGAATCTCCAAAATTGCCAAGTTTATTAATTTTTTTATTAAAGCTTTTTTTTTTTTAATTCCCACCCTCTCCCCTTTGACAACCAGTATTAGCTTGTTCTCTATATCTATGGGTCTGTTTTGTTTATTCATTTAGGTTTTTTTTTAGATTTCACTTATGAGAACATACAGTATTTGTCCTTTCTCTGACTTATTTCACTTAGCATAATATCCTCACTTAGCATAATATCCTCTAGGTCCATCTATATTGCCACAACTGGCAAGATTTCATTTTTTATGGCTGAGTAATATTCCATTGTATATATGTACCACATCTTCTTTATCTAATGATCTATCAGTGGACACTTAGGTTGCTTCCACATCTTGGTGATTGCAAATAATGCTGCAATGAACATAGAGGGTGCATATATTTTTTTGAATTAGTGTTTTGGATGTCTTCAGATAAACAACCAGAAGTAGAATTACTGGGTCATGTGGCAATTCTATTTTTAATGTTTTGAGGCACCTCCATATTGATTTCCATAATGGATGCACCAATATGCAGTCCCCCCAACAGTGCACGAGGGTTCCCTTTTCTCCACACCCTCGACAACACTTGTTTGTTGATTTATTGATGATGGCCATTCTGACAGGTATGAGGTGATAGCTCACTGTGGTTTTAATTTGCATTTCCCTGATGATTAGTGCTGTTGGACATCTTTTCATGTCTGTTGGACATCTCAATGCCCCCCTTGAGAGAAATGTCTATTCAGGCCCTTTGTCAATTTTTTAATTGGATTGTTTTTTTTGGTTTTAAGTTATATGAGTTCTTTATAAATTTGGGGTATTAACCCCTTATCAGATATATCATTTGCAAATATCTTCTCTCATTCAGTAGGTTGCATTTTTGTTTTGTTGATGGTTTCCTTCACTGTGCAAAACCTTTTTCGTTTAATGTAAACCAATTTGTTTATTTTTTCTTTTGTTTCCCATGCTCAAGGAGATATATCCAAAAAGATATTGCTGAGGGCAATGTCAGAGAGTTTACTGCCTATGTTTTCTTCCAGGAGTTTTATGATTTCATGTCTAACATTTCAGTGTTTAATCCATTTTTAGTTTATTTTTGTACCAAGTTTAGATAATGAACTCAGATAATAATTACTGATGAGCACTTACTAGGTACTAAAACACAATCACATTTAGACTTCTTGAAACCCAAGGAAGTAATTGGCGGTGTTTTTACTCACTTTTGGTGGAAGAAGAATTAATTCTCAAAGCAGTTTAGTTAATTTCACAGGTCACACAGTTAGTAGAAGAGTTGGGACTCGATTTGAGGTCTGTCACCCCCAGGTCCATGCAAAGAACAGTGTTACTTCTTGATTTTGGTGGTGGTGACTGTTGTTGGTGTATTCTTTCTCGGCAGTGTTACAACCTGTTGACTTTCTGGGTTTCCATGGTGGATGCGTTCTACCAGAGCCTCATCTGTTTCTTTATCCCTTACCTGGTAAGTCATACAGTCCCATTCTCACCACATAAATCACAGCCTGGAACTGGTCCTATTTACATGAAATCCTAAACTAGTGGTGTCTTTCTAAGTAGTCAGAGCCGAGGCTCCAAACAGGTAGCGTGCAGATGACATCCAACCCAGGGTATTTGAAAAGTTAGAATGCTTTATCCAAACATTTTAATTTCTGCCAGCTTTTGAAAAATTGAAAGTTATCATTATGATGAATCATTTTTCCCTCATGGCAAAAACCCAGAGCTGACTCACAGCCCTGCTTAGGTGGGGTGCATATTCTCCAGTGAACCATAGCCCCCACCCGTCCCTTTTGTCTTGTACCTGGCCTTCTTTACTCATTTACTGTTTCCTGCTTGTACACTGAAAGTATTCAAATTTACAACCTTTGATTTACATTTAGATTTGTGCTTCCAAGGTCAAGGCAGCAAGGTCTGATAATAAGGAATACTACATTACTGGAAATAAAAGCAACACTGTAGATAAGAATAATACCAACCCCGTCTCAACCTGGTTCCCCAGTTTAGAGTGAGAATTCAGAAAGTGCAAGATATCTGTATTCCTCCTACATAGGGAACCAGGATGTGGGGTAATTGCTACCAAGTAAACAGTAATGTCTGCCCAGCCTCTCGGCTCATATCCTTTTGCAATTAGCAACAAGATGGGAGTCAAGGAAGCAGGCATTTTGTGCTCTGTTTGACTTGCCTGGCTTACAGTGCCCTCCCTGTGGCCGTGCATCTGCTCGCCTTTCCTGCTGAACCTTTGTTCCCATTTGTGTGCTCAACAGACCTACCATCTAGGACTATTTGTCGTTCCACCACCCACCATGCTCACCTTCGGTTCTGGCCTTTGGTTGCACTGCCCTTCTCCCTTCTCTTCAAGAGATTAACTCCTCTTATGGTCTCAGCAGATATAGCCCCTATCCTGTACTCCCAGAGCACTTTGTACTTGCCTCCATTGTAGCATTGACACCCCCCCCCTTAAATTGTACTGAATTTCCCTACCAAGTAGGCTGTAAACTCCTTGAAGGTGGAGACAGAAGTGTCTTTAGCAATGGGCATCATGCCTGGTGGGTGCTCAACAAATTATTTGTTCATGCATTCCAAATGTTCTGGAATACCCATCATGGCTTCCTGTGAAAATGTGTTGCTAAATAATTTAGCCCCGTCAATCCACTCCTCATGTCTATTCTGTGGGTCAGTTCCACACAGGTGACAGCTGGACATCTTCTCCCCATTCTTCCCAGCCCCACCCCTTGACACCTGCCTTCACTGATATTTAATAATCACCATGTCAAAGCCAAGGCCTTGAGTCCGTGTGCGTATCTGACAGTGCCTGTTTGTTTCTGCTCCGCAGACGTACAAGGACTCTGATATCGACGTCTTCACTTTCGGGACACCCATCAATACCGTCTCCCTCGCCACAATCCTCTTGCACCAGGCAATGGAAATGAAGACCTGGGTAAGTGCCCCTTTGGCTTAAAATTGATGTTCCTGTTTATTGGCCACATTCAGATTTCTGAGTTGTTTTACTTTATACTTTATGTCATTGATCTACTTGGTAACTACATACTGAGCTCTTACCTGTGTCGCTCCTATACAGGGGTGAAAGAGGTATAGAAGATAAAATTCCTGGCCTCAACCCGCTTATCATCTAGCCAGGACGATGAAACTAACATATATCAGACAATGAGACCATTAGTTGCAAAAATAGATATTACTTTTTACAAATTCAAGAACGTTTTCAGAAAAAAGGAGAATATTACACCGACCATACTTGACCATGCTATGAGGAAGGTATGCTCCCCCTTTAATTTCAGGGTAAGAGACTAGAAAACTGCTTCCATGTAACTACACCTGAAGCCCAAATATCACATTTTAGTATCTGAAAAGGAAATGCCAGCTATCTCATTAAGTTCTTCTAATCAATAATTACAAAAACAAAGACCTTAAAATTATATGCCAGTTACCTATCTACATGATTTTAATGTATTATCTTAACTTCCCTTTGTGTTCAGCAGAGGTTTTTTTTTTATTGAGATATAACTGAAATATAGCACTGTATAAGTTTACAGCATAATGACTTGACATACATATTGCAGTAATTGATGTTAACTAAACTTATTGTGGTCATTTTGATTATATGTATATATAACATATATATATTATATAATACATATATATATATATAATAGATACAATAAGGTTAAGAAACTTGCCCAAGTAGTTCAAAAAAAGCCAGTTGAAACCCTGGAGGTCTGACTCTAGAGCTTTTAAACCATTATGCTAATAGTGTGAGGAAATAAGATTCAATGGTATGAGAGATGACTTTATAGAAAGATTAGTCCTTAGCCAAGCTGAAATGGCTCTTTCTGAAAAACATACGTAATAAAATTTTAGAGAACTGCCCCAAGCTGGCTCAACGTGTTCCCTGCATTCTACAGTGGAACTTCCTCCCTATCACAAGCTAGAGCAGGCCCTGACATGCTAGATGGTGGCCACCCAAGAGAACTTCCGGATCACAGAGTTCCCATTTTGAAATTCCCCTCTGCTCCAATGCATGCCAGATAGAACAAAGCGGCATAGCCTAGCTTAAGTACTAGATAAATTTCCCCCAAGAACCCCCAGAAGAGGCTGCAACACAATGGGAGGGAGAGGTAGTGGACAGGCTCAAACTGGAGGCTTTCTGACAGCGAGGACAGGAAGCAGACCATGACAGGGGGGAGCGTGGCTCCTGTGGGGTAACCCCCATTTACTGCTGGGTCCTTGGCTTGCGAAAACAAGCTGAGAAAATAAAAGATGACAAGCATTTGGAGTTAAGTTTTATCAGAAGCTGTGAGGAAGGGAAGACAAGAGCCAAAGGTATAGCTTTAATACTAGGAACCTAGCCAAGCTAAGGAAACTTTTAGAACTCGTGAAATTGAAAAGTTGTCATTGAAATTAAAAATGCAATTTGCAAGGCCAGCCAAGTGGCTTAGTTGGTTAAGAGCTCGCTCAAGAGTGCGAGCTCTGAGCCATAGGTTCGCTGGTTCCATTCACCGCCCGAGCTGAGCTGCTGCTGAACTGCCAACAGGTGGCAGGATGGCTCAGCTAAAAAAAAAAAAATACAATTTGTGGGTTTCACTCTAGATTAGACACTGAAGAAGCATAAACTGCCAAAATTGAAAGGTAGTATTGGGAACTCATCCAGAATGCCACACAAATCTGCAAAAGTAATTAAGAATGGTAGCTTGAGTGAGTGGCCCCAGCACCCACATAATAGGAGTCACAGAAGAAGAAACATGAGAGACAGCATGGTAGAGAAGCCATATTTGAAGAGAAAATCATTAAGAATAAAAATTAATCAAAATCTGGCTATGTCACCTGGATATATCATAGTAAAATTGTACAGTGTAGAAGACAGAGACAAATGTAAGGTCTACCACACTATGGACAAATTACTTGAAAAGGAACAGCAGTTGAATTGACAGTCCTATAACAGAAGCTAGAAAACAATGGAGTAATTATCTTCAAAGACCTGAGGGAAATAGCAGAAACAGCCCCACTATCTTCACTTAAGTCTAGGGCAAAATAAATGAGATTTTCAGATAAACATACTTTATGAGGTTTACCACCTGTAGACCCTCACTAAAAGAAGGAATGTAATGCTGCAAGAATATAAAAGCTACAACTATAAGAAACATGCTGGTGAGGAAGACATTATGTATTAAAAATTTACAAACTGCCCCAAGTAGGCTCAGTGTGTTCAGTAGGTAATTATTTTATGCTAAATCTTTCATTATGGATAGGAAGAAACAAGAAATACACATTTACCTATAACTTTTCCATCAACATCTACATTCATTTAGTACCTTAAAAGCTTAACTGTAAAGGAATGGAAAGAAATAAGATACAGGAAACTATCCATTCTATAAAATGTAGGGAAGATGAAAAGGTAAGAACAAAGAAAATGACAGCACACACAAAAAATAAGATGTTCAAAATGAATCCAAATACATCAGTACTCAATAAACGTAAATGACTTATTTACCTATTAAAAACAAAAATTATCAGGTGGGATTTTTTTTATCCAGCAAATATAAGGAGAAATGGACAAATTCACAATCATAGTATGAGATTTGTATACAACTCTATCAGAAATATAGATCAAATACCCAAAAAAAGGCTATAGAAGCTTTGAATTATTACACTTGATTTAATAGAGTTAGATCTAATAGAGTTAGATCTAATCTATAAAATCCTGCTCCAAACATGCATCTATTCGAACACACAGACGATTTACCAACAATTAAAAAGACCTAATTCTGAGTCACAAAGGAATTTGAATGAATCAGTATCTTAAAGACTATCTTCTCTGACATTTAGATTAAAAACAAGCCATTAAAAAGACAGCCAAACAAGCCCAACATGCTTGGAAATTTCAAAATACACTGCTAAATAAGTCATGAGGTCAAGAGTAAATCATGATGGAAATTATACCTGTGGCTGAGTGACTATATAAATACATATACAAATTTGTGAGATGCAGCTAGTTTTATTATTTAAAACAAAGAGATAAGAAATCGGCTTGAGGTACTTAAAAACTTAGTATGTAAACCTAAAGAAAACAGGAAATGAGAAAAAGATAAGGTAACAACAGAAAGAAAAAATAAGACCAAAACTGAGCTTCTCAAAAATCTAATGAAAACTAACATCTGGCAAAACCAATCCAGGGGAAGACATAAAAACAATGCTAGGAATGAAAAAGACTACCAATTTTTAAAAATATTTTTAAAATATAAACCAAGCTGATAACTTTTTTTAATGTAAAATTCACCAAAACATAGTCAAGATCATTCAGCAAACTCTATAAATCAATCACCAGTCAAGAAACTGAATTGGCAATTCTGTCCCCAAACTTACCACACCCACAAGACTATAAAGGTGAGTTTAACCAAACTCAGAAGGGACAGATAATCTCTATTTTACACCAACATTTTTCATAGATTAAAAAAAAAATAGGAAAGAGAGGTAATTCATTTTTTTATGGCTAGAACAACCCTGACATCAAAATTGGCATGGACCGTCCAAGGGAAGAAAATTATAGACCAATCTCACTAAATAAACATACAAGTAAAAATTCTAAGTAAACCATTGGCAAAGCAACTCAGCAGTGTGTTAAGGATGATAAAACCCAACCAAGGAACTTGCATACCCTGTAAGTAGACTGTCAACTGATACCACCCCTCTTGAGAGCAATCTGAAAATAGCTAGAGGAGTTCAAGTGCTCATATGCTATGACACAATTCCACTTCTAAGGACTCATATGTGCCCTACAAATACTCCTGCACGTGTATATACAGAGGCATGTACAAAAATGTACTTACGCCATTGTTCTTAATAGTGAAAAGTAATTATTGGAAAGAGCCTAAATGTTCAGCAGCAGGAAAAGAGGTTGTGGCATATTGATATAAGAAAACAGTTAAAATGAATAAACTTGAGCTGTTTCTAGCGACATAGAGAGAAACCCCAAAGCATAATGTCTAGTTTGAAAAGTTACAGAGGAAAGATGCACCTGATAAAGTCTGGAAAGATGCACCTGATAAAGTCTAAGAGCATCCATCAACATGGCTCCATAAACACGTATAAAATACTATAAGAATGATGAACGCTGGGTTTATGTTCAAGATTACAGAGAAAGCATTTGCAAGGGATACGTGGGTGCTTTAAATGTACCTGTAAGACAGTCTTTTAATAAAAATCTGAGGCAAATATTACATAAGGTTAAATTTGATAAAGCTGGGTGTTGGGTAGATGAGGTTTATTGTCTGTGAGCTTGAAATATTTCATAATAAGTTGCATTTTTTAAAAACTAGCCCGAGATAGTTCCCAAAAGGAGCTCTGCCCTCTATGATCCTTTTAACCATTAGATTTTTTTTTTAACCTATCAAAATGCTCTGCAAAATATAATCAGGCCTTGATTGGATATTACATGGGTGATGAGACTAAAGGTTCTGTATCTTCTGATTGGTCGCTCAGCTCACTTTCTCAAAGTACTGAGTCCATCTGCTTTAAAAGAGGGACGCCGTTCCCTTCACTCACCATTCAGCATTATCAATGCACCTAATGCATCTCTAGGCCAGGTATCGCCATCCTTACCGGTGATTTCTGGTGCTCTTCAGAAAGGAGTCAACTGCTAGAATTGTTATGAAAAATGCATTTCTTTTTCAAAAGTGCTTGAAGCATGGGGAGAGCCGGTTTCTTCCCTTGGTAGGACTGTTAATGGCTGTGTCCATTTTCACAGTCCTCACCAAAGCAATTGAAAAAAATTAGCTAACTGCTTTCCTCTGGAACAGGGGCTGGATTATTCAGATCACCTCACCCACTGAAAACAACTTAAAATAATAGATAATTTTTTTTAAAAACCACCTTAAACGCATAAAAGAGCTGACAGAATAGTAAAAACAAAAATCTTTGGGAAAGGGGATTCTAGAGACACAAACTAGGTCACAGCCTGTTTCCTTGAAGGTGTTTGCAACCCCACACACACACACAAAAAAAAAAAAAAAAATTCTGAACTTTGTTTTTGTCAGACTTGACTGAGCAAAAGTTTCAGAAACCAAAACGCAAGCACCCAACATGGGAGTCTATTAATAGACCACATTAAATTAGGATCCCCAAAGGCTAGAGCTTAAGAGTAAGGGGACACACAAAAATGGACGTGCCTGTACACTCTCCCCAGCAGGGACTGCAGCTCATCCCACTGTGCTGAGCATGGCAGGGAGAACCCCTGTAAACGCCCTCCTAGGAAATGAACATGGGCCGGCCTCATACAGATTTGCAGCACAGACTCGTGTCACCTGGGTGAGCCAAACTCAAGAGAAAAGTATCTCATCCTAAGTCTCAAATTGTCCCTATTAACTTTTCAAGGGCAATAAGTATCACATATTTAAAAATAATCAAGTTCTCAAGGGAACAAGAGTTCATTAGTGAGGATCAAAAAAAATAAACATCCAAAACAAATATTTCAAGTGTTGGTATTATCAGATATAAATTATAGAAAAGCTATGTTCACTATGTTTAAAGAAATAAAGGATATGCTTTAAAATATCTAGAGATTGGTAAACTATATAAAACAACCTAGAAGACTAGAAAAGAAACCAAATAAAACATTTAGAAATAAAAAATACAACTATAATTTGTCTCACTGGCTGGCTTAACAATAAATTACATACAACTGAAGGGAGAAATTAATGAATTGGTCAAAAGAAATTATCAAAAATATAAAACAGAGGCAAAGTAATAAATATGTATAGAGTAGTATCTTAAAATGTCTGAAATACGTTTGATCACTCTCAGAAGGAAATGAGAGAGAAAATGTGACTGAGGGAATATTTTAAAAGATAGTGACTTAAGAACTTTGCAGAAGTAATGAAATACATCAATTCACCATTTCAAAGTCAGCAAAACCCAAGCAAGATAAAAAGAAACCCACACGTATCCTAAGGAAACGATAGAACACTAAAGACAAAAATAAAAGTCACAAAAGCAGCCAGGTTTTAAGAGATCAAGATTGCCATCTACGGCCAACAAAACAGATGAAGCATTGCTAACTTCTCAGTAGTGACAATGGAAGCCAGAAGACAATGAGGTGGTATTTTAAATATGCTGAAAGAAAATAACTGCCAAATAAGAACCCTATATCAATCAAAAACATCTTTCAAGAATGACAATGCAATAAAGTATCAAAGAACAGATCACCAGCAGACTCCCACTGAAGATAATTCTAAACGATGTACTTAAAGCAAAAGGAAAGAAGTTTCAGATGGAAGGTCCAAGAAGCAAGAAGGAATCAAGGCATAAAAAGTGGTAAACATCTAAGTCACCCTTAATGACTATTGACCGTATTGAACAATAATAATGATTGTGTGCTTTAAAAAGGTAAAATTAAAATAAACAGTAGCAATAAGATGTCAGGAGGGAGGTAAACAGTATTCAAAAGCCGTTGTACAATTCAGGAGGAGGGAATAGTAGTTAGAAACATTAGACTGTGGTAAGTGAAGATCACTTATTATCATTTATTGAGTAATCAGTGAAAAAAGAGCAATGGTGGGTGTAACTTTCAAGCTAGTAAAGGGGGAAAATAACATTATAAAAACAATAAGTTTAAAAGAGGACAAGAATGGGGGAAAGAAAGCACAAAACCAGCAGGACAAAATAAGATTAGACAACAGAACACTGAACTGCCTTGAAAATAAATAAACTATAGCCAAATGTGAAAAAAATGAATTTGTCACACAAACATAATATTGAGGGTAAAGAAAAAAAAATCACACAAAACATGAACCTATTTACTAACATTTAAAAAACAGTCTATATAGAGAAACATAGAAACATGGTTAAACATCAAAGAATAGCTTGGAATTATCACCCAAGTCAAAGATGAGACAGACGCTTTAGGGGTTCTTGGGGTATGTGTGTTCAGATTCTGGATGGTAGCAACATGAGTGTTTGCTTTATAATGAATGATCCATTAGATGGCACACTTGTTCGAATTTTTTTTAAGTGTGTTGCATGTCCCAAAAAGAGAAGCTTAAAACAAAGTTTGCCAAGTAGCGTGATTGCACTGCCCCCTGATCTGAGCTATGCATTCAACAGAGTTTCCTTCTTTCCTCCCAGACCATCATCCACGGGCTGGTGCTCGTAGGCAGCTTCCTGATGTACTTCGTGGTATCCCTGGTGTATAACGCCACCTGTGTCATCTGCAACAGCCCCACCAACCCCTACTGGGTGATGGAAGGCCAGCTCTCAGACCCCACTTTCTACCTTGTCTGCTTCCTCACACCAGTCGCGGCTCTTCTCCCAAGGTTTGAGCACGGGGGCTGTCTGCGTCCTAGAACTACCAATCCCCTCTTCATAAGCCATTTTCATAACCCATGAAGCAGGAGTTTTCACTCCCGGCTGAGATTCTTGAGGCTATTATTTCAAAACAGGAGTGCTAGGACAGAAGAACAATGGACTCTAGTCCCAAGTCATTCCACAGAGCAGCCAAGTCACCAAATCTGCCATGGCCTCAGTTGTGACATCTGTAAAATGAGAGTGATAACTCCTATCATCCTGCCTTACAAATTTTGTTGAGCATAAGGGATCAATTTGAAAAGCTCTATGGTCCTTTATTAGCCCACAGGGCCAGGCAAACAACTACAGCAAACCAGAAGTGCAGACATACTGGAAAGACCTTCTCAGCTTCACCCTGTCAGCGCCATCAGGAAAGATGAAATGTAGCATTCAGGAACTTCAGATTTTTCCCAGAAATTAAAATTGTACATGAAAGAGCCCATTTAATATTACTCAAATTTGTACATACACACACACACACACACACACCACACACACACAGTGTATTAGCCAAATATATCATTCATGCCCAGGGACTATTTCTAACATTTTCAGCCTAAACCCTCTGCATTCGCCTTTTCTGGAAAAATATTATAGTAACAATGCCTTGTGTTTCTTTGGAGCTTGCTCTTGACACACACTGTCCTATCTAGCCTCTCACTTTGTTTTTGTCACCTAGGCAGTCAGGCGGAGCTGTGGTTCTAGCCCCACTTGCTCTTGGGGTGATGTAAGTGCCAAGAGGGACGAGAATGTGTCCACAAGCCCACCACAAATCCCAGGGGCAGCTGGTTGGCCATTTCGGTGGCCAATATCCTATTCTCCATTCACGCTCTCTAGTCAGAGCAGTCAGTGCACTTGACAATGATGTCCCCACAGACAAGACTTAGCCCCTCTCTATCCTACAATCTCACCACTCTGAATATCAAAATTCAGCCACTTTATCATTAGAAGTTGTAGTGAAAACAGGCCATTGCAACATCGTGCAAAACATTTTCTAATCCAACATCAGCAGATAGTGCTTCCTTAAATAAATTTGGCAGGTTGCTCTCCATGTCCTCCTCCATAAGCCACCCGAGAACCTTGACCTCTGATGGAGGGTTGCAGGCTGAAGATAACAAAATGTCAAACACAAATGTTGGTTGAGCTCTAAATGTGCGCTGTATGCCTGGCCTCCCTGCTTGGCAGCTACTGGTCTCTGCAGCCTCATCTCCCCACTCCCTACCTCAAACTTTGGGCTCCACACCACCAGGCGTCTTGTACCTAAAGGCCCATGCCCTCTCACCTTCTATCTGGGCTCATGCAGTTGCTTCTATTCAGTACATCCTGCCCATTACCAAACCTCCTCACCCTTTGACGTTATTTCATGTCTGACCAATTCCGAACCTTCCATGACTTCACCTACATTCCCCAGGCTGACACAGGTCCCCCTCTCTCATGGCTTCTATCACCTGGGTGTATCTCTGCCTTTATCCCATTTGTTATAAAGTGTCTCTCTTTATTTGAACATTAACTCCTAGACAGAAGGTATCCTTATCATTACCAACATTTAGCCACCTCCTTAGCATAATCAACATTTAGCACAGTTCCTGACACAGTGGCTATACTTAGAAATAAATGAGCAATGGATGTTAAAGCAACAGAAAGATGAACAGAAAGCTTACTTTCAAGAAACTTTCAGTCTAGTGAACAATTCAGACATGTTTGACTGTATTACAAGAGCCAAAGAGACAAGTACCCATAGAGGGTCCTGAGCACAAGCCTCAAGAGGACCTTTTTCCCACCACACCCCTTCAGCCCAACCCCCTTGGGACACAGACCCTGGAAGAGATTGTGAGGATTATGTCCTCATTGGAAAAGGGCATCAAATATGTGGGTTAAATACTTGTGTTCACATTTCTCGGATTTAACATGGTTGTGATCACCACTGACCAAGGACTGAGCTCCTCCATTCTGTTCTGTGTCTTCCCTGGGGTATGGAAATAAATTATCAGCCCTACAGTCTTTGTCTTGCCCTTGGCTCAAAAACACACTTGGAGCCAAACATTACTAGCTTGATGAAGATCCTCAAAAAGTATAAGAAGACTATTGATATGTGCTTTGAAAAGACAAGCATTCAACATTACAGCTTGTTACACAGAGACAGATTAGGAAAAGTTAGCAAATATTTACTTGTTAGTTACTATAGCACATAAGTAAAATCTTTACTTATTCTATATTATCATCATAAAGTTGAATTTCTGTTTACTAAGAAAAGTGAAGAGGTTTCTTCTGAGAAAGGATTATTTTAACAGTTCTAAAGACTATTGACTTGTAACCTCAAAAAATTAATGTTTGTTATAGAAATCTACATACTAGAATGTTTGCTGTAGAAAACTATTTGTTCACTTAAAAGTTGTAAACTGTATTTATTGTAATGGAGATGGATTTCACTCATCAAACTTGTGATAATTAGCCCACTAACCATGACCTCACTAATCTTGGTCTAAGTAATGCAACCCATATAAAAGAACTGTACAGACTCTCTTAAACTAGGAACATGTAAATTGTTTTAACACAAAACAAAAGAAACTAACACACGAACTTGAAATCACATTGAGTGTCTTACTTAAATAGCTACAATAGATGATACCAGTCCATGGACCGTCTCCCCTTGGCTCCTAATCCAACACTCTCTTGGTCTTTCTCCTTCTCCTTCTTTGTTTTCTTTGCTGGTTCATGCCCTAGATGTGATATATGTCAAGCCTTGGTCTTAGGTTCTTCTGCCTTCTAACTTTATAGTCTCTTCATAGACATAGCAACCAATATTATGAAGTTAGGTATTTTTAAAGATGAATCTCCAATACAAAATCCCCAGCCTCTCTTTCTGAATTCCAGATACACCTTTATAGCTACCTATTCCTCACCTCCAATGGGCATATAAGTCCAAAGAAACTGGGAGACATCTATAATTTAATTCATGATCTGCCCTTGATCACTACCACCATCCAGGAAACCTAGATCTCCCCCAGAGTTTCTTCCATCAAATGCTACCCACTTAGGACCAAGCCAGACCCCTAGGAGTTATCCTTGAAACCACCCACCACCTCATGCGCACATCTAGCCCATCACCAAGACCTGACAATTCTATGTGCTACATATTCCTCAAGTGCATCTGCTATTTTCATTTCTCCCACCACTACCGTGGATAACTTATAATCCAAATTACTTCAATAGTCTATTAGGTTTCTGATCCATTATCATTGTATCAAAGTATAATCATGTCATCTGTTTATAATCCACCAAGGACTCCCCAAGGCCTTTACAATTAAAGCACAAAACCAAAACATGGCTCAGTCCTTGGCTGCTCTGACCCTGCCCGCCCCTTCTATGTCACATTTCCCCACTCTTGTCCTCCCCTCCCCACATTTCAGCCATGGTGCTGGGGACTTGGGTCTCACCCCCTCCCTGGCTACCTCTTATGCATCCCTCAGTCCTTAGTGTCTTCCTCAAGGAAGGTATCTCATGCCAGATCAGGTGTCTGACACTCGCACTGTTCTCTCTGGCGACATGTCCCACAGGTGCCACATGAAAGCAAGAACCCTGTCTGTCTTGTTCTCAGCTTAATCCCTTGGGGTGTGGCCCACTGTAGGGATTTGCCAAGTATTTGTTGAATAAATGCGTGGACAAGGGAATGTGGTGGCTTGGGGGAAAGGTTTAAATTGAGAAAAGTCCAGTTTCCGGGCAAGAAGTCAAGCCTTTCCTGAAACATGTACAAGGCCACCTGTACTGCTTTCCCTAGCTGAGATTAGAAAGAGTGGAGAAAAGTTTATCTGATGCCATGGGGTCTTCAGAAACCCCTTGCCCCGTGGGAGGTTACCCTGAAGCTTTGAGATACAGTGGAAGGATGCGAGCCTCTCTGTGTATAAGGCTTTAGGAATAAAATTTTTTTTAAGATTTTTTTGGAAAAGATCTTAGATGTCCTCTGGACCAATTGGATTACTTTTTAGATAAAGAAACTGACACCCAGAGAGGGGACATGAATTGCCCAGTATCACAAGATGGTATGTGCTTTCTCCATAGGCCACACAATTTTATTCGCCCTCTCATTCCTTCCCTTCCCAAACGTGGAACAGGGGAAAGATTCCAGGCACAGACAGAGAGAGACCCCCAATTCCAGACTCCAAATCAACCTGCATGCAGCTGAGCTGGGGGAAGGGAACCCTGACTTAACCATCAGGGAGATCCAGTAACTTCTCAGGAGACCTTGAAAACCCATCTCATCTCTTGGTGCCTAAGTTTCTTCACCTGGAAAATAGTGAGAATACAGTGATGCTGTGAAGTTAGTATGGCTGATGAATTCAAGAAAAGAATATGCATTTAGAAACTACTTAATTAAGTTCCACAGAGGATTGACATTGCCAAGTAAATTTGCCTAAATCAGAAGAGCCCAGAAATAGAATGGACTGCCCTTGTGCACGGTAGATAAAAGCCTAGTGATCCAGATTGCTTAGTTCTAACCACAGCTCGACCACTGTGTCACTCTAAAGAAATCACTGAATCGCTCACTGCCTCGGTTTCCTCGTGTGTAACAGGGGAAACAAAAGTACCAGCTGCATGGGATTTCGGGGAGAATAAGATGAGATAATAATACATAAAGCACTTCGAGTAGTCCTGGTACATAATAAATGTTAGCTATTATATATTGTTGTTATTGAACTCCCAAATCCCAGAGGTGCTCAGGCATAGATTTGATAACCATCAGTTGGGAACACAGCAAAAAGACGCTTGCCCTGGGTGGGGAGTTGGATCGTAAGGTCCCTTCAATACTGAGATTCAAGAAGTCAACAAAAATCAGAAAATAGCTTTATGCTGTTATTTCTTATTTCTCACCAGGTACTTTTTCCTATCTCTACAAGGGAGTTATGGGAAGTCTCTGATCTCAAAAGCTCAGAAAATTGACAAACTCCCCAAGGACAAAAGAGACCTGGCGATCCAGAGCTGGCGAAGCAGACACACGCCTGCCCGTGTCCCTGGAAAGGCTCAGCCCACCCCCCGTCCAGTACCACCCGTCCCTGAACAGGACTTGAAAACCAGCACCCCCAAGCAGAAGTGCAAAGAGGACCGGGTGCCGCGTGGAGAGAGAAGCAGCAGAGACCACATGAGGGATGACTCGTGCTCAACAGACTCCTCAGCTAAACTCTCATCCAGAGATCACCTTCTTCTGGGGCCTAGCAGCACAATGGCTTCCGGGGCCAACTCAAGTGGACAGGCTAATGTCCACCAACGCTCGAGCAGGGGCAGCCATCGCCGATCTCAGAGTTCAATGACCATATGAGGGGCCTGCAAAAATGTGTACAAACTCAGAGGAGAACGCCCAGTCAGAGGCCTCATTAAGCCAAGCCTCTTCCTCTCTCTGTGAAGGGAAGAATTTGCCATTCTTATTCTGTTCTCCCGACTAGGCTTGACTTCCTTAGCGGAAGCCAAGGGGTTTGACAAAAAAAGGAGTGGAAACCAGTTGACCTCTAGTTTTCTCCAGGCAGCACATTTTACAACAGAGTTTTTATAAAGAGGCTATGTTTCTATTGTATTGAGTTCTCAAAATTTTTAGCCCAGGGATGTTCTGATCCTCTAGATAAGTGAAGCCTACGACCCAGGGCGATGGGGCCATAAGTTTCCAAGATTCCAAGAAATGTTATCAACCCAGGTGATTTCTCAGGCTATGGAAGTTTCTGGGCTTGTCCAACCATCACCTCACCCCTCAGTGCCAGAGTTTAAATTTCAGACAAGACCCGTACACACAGGCGCTTCATCTTGACTGTATTGCAGTGATGACCGTGTTGGGGGTAAATATCCCTTCTATGCACAAAGAGTTGGGTCGCTTTTTGTCTCTAAGCCAAAGAAAACCACATATAAAGATTAAAACTAAAATTGAACTCTGTGCCACTTCTGAGGGTTGTAGGGCCACAACTCGTATAAGAGGCAGAAAGAACATAGCATGCTAAGGGAAATGGTATACCAGGAACTCCAGGCTTTAGCCGACGGACTCTATGTCCCTCTACCAAGATGACATGGGGAGCACTTTTTTTAAGCTATTTATTTTATTTATTTTTAAATGGAAGTACCCATTCTCATTCAGCTCTCAGAACAAGAAAACTCTAAAATCGATAGATCTTAGCACACCTGCATCTAGAATAGACCCTTTTGATGGAGCAACTCTGAGCCCAAACAATGACATCTTAAATGGTAGGGCCAGTGTTAAGCTCTGTTCATTAAGACTGGAAGATACTGGCACATGCTGCCATTAAAAAAAGGGGGAATCAGAGGAAGTCTCACTTCACCATGAAAAGAAGGACTACATAGACTTCTTACTCCTAGAGGTGGTAAACCCCAAAAATGTAAGAGCTCAAAAAAGTGTTGAAATAAAAGAATGGATGATAGAATTCTAATAGGCTGTTGAGAAAAGCTAGGTCTACTATAGGCAAAGAAAGCCTCTCTCTAGTGTTTTAAAATAAGCCAGGGAGGACTACCAAACCCTCTCTCCTTAAGGTGGTGCCTATAGATTAGGCAAAATCCCTAGAGGTTAGGGATGGATGTGACAAGCCTTTGAGCCCAAGTCACAACCACCCTACTTGACTAAGAGTCATAGCCACCTGACTTGAGTAACTTCTCAGCAAAGATGCCCAAAAACATCTCAACAATCAAGTTGGCAAATGGAAGACCCAGCTGGTCCTCTGACTACCCTGCTGACACCCTTGATCTGGAGGGCCATGTGAAGCATCATCCTGGAGCCAATACATTGGATCTCCTTCACTAACTCTGCCACATAAGGACACCAGCACTGGCCAGCCAGTGGGTATTCAGGGGACTCCTACATGAGGACTGCTAAAAAAGGAGCAGGTAAACACATCAGGCACAGCAGGAATGATGTGGATTGTCCCAAATGAGGGGATTCAGCCAAAACTTGGATCTCACGGTCCTACCTTTCCCCATACAATTCCTGAAAGCCAGATGAGACAGGATGTTTCAACAAAGAACAGAGGAGAGGGAAGAAACCTGGCCTCAGGAGATCTGGGACGCAGATCTTTGCTCTGCCCCATACTCTGTAGGAGCCAGGAGCCTTGAAGCTGGATGCAACACCTACAAGTTAGGTTAGAACTGCCCTACCTCCCAGGCTTGGCACAAGGATCAAGTCAAAATTACATGGGGCTGAGAAAACGCTTTGAAAGCTGTAACACCCTTGATAATAACACAGGGATTTTTATTTCAGAGTTAAGAGGAAAAGAGGTGATGGGGAAATTGAGAAAACGTCTGATCTCAGCACCTAATGCCAAACCTTACCCATCATTGTGATGCTGCTCTGTTTCCTCCATGACCAACCATCCCAGTTTGCCTAGAATTTTCCCAGGTTTAGCACTGAAAATCCCACATCCTGGGAAACTCCTCAGTCCTGGGACAACTGGAATAGCTGGTCACCTGCTCTTGCTCTTTTTTGTAAACCAAATCAACTGTGACCCTCCAACACGCCACCTTAGGGGAAAAGGTTATAACAACTCTTTCCATATAACATAATGCTAATGATTGTACGTAATACATTTTTATACTTTTATGACCTTTTACTGATTGACTGGAAATGTGTCATTCTTTATTAGAAGAAAAAATAAACATGGTTTTTCCGTAGTTGCTTGCAGTTCTGAGCCCTCTCTCATCCATCCATCCTTCTTTGCATTCAATCATCTATTAATTTATCCACCCATCCATCCATTCATCTGCCCAGTAAACTTCTGTTTATTGAATAGATGCCTGGTGATGTGCTAGGGGCTGCAGGGAACTCATCCCTGTCTTTAAAAAGTTCACAGCCTTGTTGGACATAGAACATCGGGAACGTATTTGATCTAATGTAAGAGTGTGACACAAACCAAAACAGCTATAAGAATTAGAAGCAGCAGCACACACAGTCTCCTCTCTCTGAAACTCGAACCTGGCTACTCCCCTCTTTCTGGAAGCCTGACACCAACCTCAAACCCATATACCCATGTTGAGGAGGTGCCCCTTTTCATTCACTCATTCACACCAGTGAGTGCCTGCTGGACACAGCTCTGCAGGAGACGGCAAAGGTAAAAGAGGGAAGAAAAGCAGGCCCAGCTCTGGTCCTCAAGGGATTTACAGCCTCTAGGGAAGGCCCAGAGGAAGGGAGGGATTGGCTCCCAGGGTAATCGGAGAAGGCCTCTCCAAGGAGAGCCTTCAGCTAAGACCTTAGCCATGAGAGAATTAAGTAGGAAAGCCCTGAAAAAAGAAAATCACTTGGTGTATTCAAAAAATTAAAGAAGAAAGGTCAGTGTGACTAGAACCCATTGAACAAGAGGAAGTGCCCCATGACCGTGTTAGTAACAATGGTAATATTTTACTGTGTGACAGGTGCTAGGCTAACACACATCATCATAAAGCTCACAGCAACCCTACAAGATATAAGTACTATTATATTATTTTCCCCTATTTCATTTAGCTTTGGAGACATAACCAACCACCGCCAAAATTTAGTAGATTAACACAATTATTCATGTGCCCACCATGCTGTGAGTGGGGAATTTGAGCCGGGATCTCTCTTCTCAAGGTCTGTCTTCTAAGGACATCAGCCAGCCTTATCACATGGCAGCAGAGAACAGAAGTGAGAACAGAAGCTGCAAAGCCTCTTGATGCCGAGGCTCAGAACTCCCACGTCATCATTGCCACTGTATTCCATGGAAGCAAGTCACAAGGCCAGCCCATTTCAAGGGGGTGGGGAAATATAGTCCACATTTAATGGGAGGAGCTACAAAAAAATCTGAGGCCATTTGCAATCGACCACATCCCATTTACAAATGGAGAAACTGTAAAAGGCAGACACTGAAAAAAGGCAGAGAGAAGTTACATAAATTTGGCAGTCACACAATTAACAAATGGGGAGGTGGCATTTTAATCCCAGAAGTCTGAAACCAGAGCTCATACTCTTAACCACAGAGCCACACAACTGTGAGATGGGGCTGCAGGGGCAGGAGGGAACAGACAACAGAGGCTCTTGTCTTCCCCACATTCTCTTGAGAGACAAAGTAGTACAACACTAGGCAAGCCTGAACTCCATCCCAGCTCGGTCACAGACTGGCAATGTGACCTGCGGAAAGTCAGGTTGTTCACCCAGACAAAAGTTTCAGTAAATAAGGAAGAGAGCAGCGCGTAAGGAGAGCAGAATTAGTGCCTGCATTGCCCTCAAATAGCTGCCCCTGAGCTGATCACACACAGCCAGCACTTCCCATTCTGCACAAAGAGAGCCCCCAGGACAAAAATCACACGGGAGTAAATTCTCCCAGGTAACCAGAGAACCGAAGCGGGTATGGGACCCAGGCAGGACTGCACTGATAAAGAATGTGGGCACCGTGAAGCTGGGGCAATGCCCTGAGCAGGCAGGCCATTTGAGGGCCCTGCAAGAGTGCTGCCTGGCGGAAACTTCGGGATGCCCACAAGGAGGATTCAGGCATTGTCAGACAGGACCTGAGACCAGAAGCCTTTTTATTCAAAGGCGCTCTGGTGCCACCTAGCCATTGGTGGAGGAGCTGCTGCACCTGAGGGCTCTTGCTACAGCCAGAGCAGGGAAAACAGGGCGGAGGGGGAACCAACCCAGGGTCAGGAGGCCATATTCCAGGTCTGACCCTGCCAGCAGTTTCTGCTATGACTGTGGACAAATCCCTTTACAAGGTTTCAACCTCAAAGTGAGGTTCAGTCAGCTTTCCCAAATGCTCAAGGTGGGAAGTGGACTGGTTCAAACATTCTATGGTTCTCAAAGCCATTTGGAGAGGCTGGTTACAGTGCAGGAACGACTGTGGTAAATCAATTTACTACTTGTGCAGTTGTTTGTTTCTCATGTGTGTGGGCATGTGCACGCACACGGTGAAAGATCCCATGAAGGAGGAACCCTGTGATCTTTTCTCTGCTGTCCCTTGTGCTGGGCACATGGCAGTAAGGTGTGTAAGGAGTTGGGGAAGAGGAGCTTTAATCTCCTATAATCTCTTCAACACCTCCTACCCCCCCCCCCCCGAAAAGAAAAGCTACTTACTACCTAAAGCTCCAAAATGTCTCCACTTCCATGCACATCAATGCCCCTAAGCCCCTCCTCTGTCCATATTTAGACTGCCACCATCTCTCCCCTGACTCCCAGTCTATGACAGGTGCCAGCCCCTCACAGGTCACAACTGGGGACAAATTAAGTCCAGGCACCTCCAGGACTGAGAGCCCCTAGAGGCAGCAGACTCCTCAGGGCCTGTTCTCAGACCCCAGTTCAATAAGGGAGACTGGCTAACAGACACTTGACTGAACTTCGAGGAAAACTGGGGTTTGTTTCAGTGTCATGAGCCTTTCCTACCCCAGCTAACCTGTGTCCCCAGAAGATGAGGTGAAAGATACTCCTGCAAATGAAAAAAACCTGGTAAGAGATAAGCAGATGAGCCCAGGGTCATCCAGTAATTTATAGAATTAGAGCTAAGACTAGAATGGGGTCTCCTGACACCCCTCGATGGGGGGGTTTCAATTATGTCATCAGCAGAAATTAACTGGTAATTCTTTCCAGGACTATTTGGACATGTAAAAATGAGAAGATTAACATAAAAGGATAAAATAAAACAAAGAATTGGAAGATCTGGAAGACAAGGTAGCAGAAAACACCAAATTAGAACAGCAGAAATAGAAAAGAATTTTTAAAAATGAGGATAGTTTAAGGGACCTCTGTGACATCAAGCACACTAGCATTCACATCATAGGGGTACCAGAAGGAGAAGAGAAAACAAGCAATTGAAACCCTATTTGAAGAAATAATGATGAAAAACTTCCCTAACCTGGTGAAGGAAATAGACATACAAGTCCAGGAAGTACAGAGACTTCCAAACAAGATGAACCCAAGGAGGCCAACGTCAAGACACATTATAATTAAAATGGCAAAGGTTAAAGACAAAGAGAGAATTTTAAAAGTAGCCAGAGAAAAGCAATTAGTTACATACAAGGGAGCCCCCATAAGATTGTCAGCTGATTTCTCAACAGAAACTGTGTAGGCCAGAAGGGACTGGCAAAAAATACACAAAGTGATGAAAAGCAATGATCTACAACCAATATTACTCTACTCAGCAAGGCTATCATTTAGAACGAAAGGAGAGAGAAAGAATTTCCCAGACAAGAAAAAAAACTAAAGGAGTTCATCACCATTAAACCAGTATTACAAGAAATGTTAAAGGGACTTCTTTAAGATGAAAAGATAAAAAATGTGAATAATAAACTAAAGGCAAGAAAAACTGCTCATTGACCAAGGCAAACACATAATAAAAGCATTGGACCAAACAACCATAAAGCTAGTACAAAGGTTAAAAGGCAAAAGTAGAGTAGGAATATCATGTGTAATTCCAAAATAAATTAAGGGATACACAAGCACACACACAAAAGAAGTAAAATATAATGACGAAAACATAAATGTGGAGGAGGTGAGTAAAAATGATAGTGATTTTAGAATGTGTTTGAACTTAAGCAACCATCAACTTAAAATAGACTGCTATAGTCGCCAGCTTCTGGACGGCTGCTCCTGCTCACGGTGGCTGCTGGCCGCTCACGCTGGCTG